GAGTTCTTTGGGTATATGCCAAGGAGTGGTATAACTGGGTCAAATGGTAGGTTCCTTTGTAGTTTTTTAAGAGTTCTCCACAATGCTTTCCATAGGGGTTGAACCAGTTTGCAGCCCCACCAGCAGTGCACGAGTGTTCCCCTTTCCCCACATCCTCTCCAGCATTTGGTATCATTTGTTCTCTTGATCTTAGCCAGTCTGACTGGGGTGAGATGAAATCTTAAACAAGCATTGCTTTTTTATTCTCTCTCTCTCTCTCTCTCTCTCTCTCTCTCTCTCTCTCTCTGTGTGTGTGTAGGCGCATGTGCCACACAACACTTAGGGAGGGTCAGAGGACAACTTTCAGGAGCCAATTCTCTCCTTCCATCATGTGGGTCCTGGGTATTGAACTTGGATTGTTGGTTTGGTAATAAGCACCATTACCCACTGAGCCATCTGGTTTGTTCTTGAAGGCTAACATGCTAATGTTTGCAGGGTCTTGAGTTTCCTAGCAGTTGCTCCCAAGTCCTCCTCTATCACTACCTTTGAGATGCAGGATGACTAAGACCGCCAAAGATCAACGTACGCCACAGAGATCTACAACCAGTGCCCGATATGTGAACACTGCATTCCATCACAAATGAGACGGGGCTCGGACTCTCTGTCTTGTCCTTAAATGCCAGTTTAAAGAAACATTGTTGGAGACGAGACCGCTGCCCTGTTGGAACTCTGCAGAAAGCCTGCTTGACTACATGAGCAAAGTCGCCAGTAGCCAAGATTATCTGTGATGGCAGAGCCAGATAGGCCAAGACTGTGTGTGATGACAGAGCCATTCGGAGTGCTGTGTCCCTTAGGTGTGTTTAGATTAGATAATGAACTATGCCTTATTTACACTGTTGTGTGAACATTTGCTCTGTACCTTGCAAACAGGCCACATTTTGTTTCTAATTGTTTCCTGAACTCCGGCAGAAAAAATGTCCCTTGATCTGCATACCATTTGTTCCTGGACACCTGCTCAAAGCATCCCATCCCTGCGAACAAAACCTTGAAAGTTAGAGACTCAGCACTCTTGGTCTATGGAATAAGGAGCCTCCTGGCCCCTAGCTTTCTTAAATATTAAATTGTGTGCAATATTTTATTATTAGATACCTTGCCATCCCTCTTTGTGTCTGCCTACTACGCAGCCACACAGGGTAAAAGCAGCAAAGCACTGTGTAACTCAGGAAGAAGCCCTTAGCTCCCCTCAGTGCTGAAACAATTAACAAACAAGAAAGATGAAATGGGGGGCTGGCAAGATGGCTCGGTAGGCAAAGGAGATTGCCATACAAGCTTGACAAACTGAATTCAATCCTTGGAACCACAGTAAAAGAACTAACTCCTGAAAGTTTTCCTCTACCTCTGCCTAGGGTCTGTTACGCTTCGTGCATGTACACACACACACACACACACACACACACACACACACACCCTAAAGTTATAAAAATGAAATCAAAGTGATTCCAATGGAAGGCTCAGGTTACAAGGATAGGAAAATACTGGGTTATGTCCCTGGTTAGAATTCCTGACAGAGTGCAGTTATTATCATCAAGGAAGTAATACCAAAAGGAAAGTCATCTCTGACAAAGGTAGACAGATATGACAGGCACTTGATATAACCCCTCTGCAATTACAGACAGTTGTGTAGTGTTTCCTGAGAGCTGAAACCTCTCCTCCTAGAGAGACAAGGGAGGAGGGGAAGCTCTCAAGATGCAAGAAACTCACCAAACATAAGAGGCTCAGGAAACAAGGTTATATAAACAGCGAACAATCATTGAAGGAGAAAAGAATCTTCCGTGGAGCTGCCTGCACATTACACAGGGAACTCCAGGGATGCAGCTCTTTTGAGTTGTCCCCCGGTACTGGGGTGAGTCCCTTTGGTGATACAGGTGCTTGAAAGTCACCCACCTATAGGTAACCCCTAACTCATGGTCCCATAAGTAATCTCAATAAACTCAGGTTTGCCATGCTAGACTTAGGAAAAGCCACACAATACAGATACATCACCAAAGACAAAACTGCTCAAATTGGGCCAGTGAGATGGCTCAGTGGGTAAAAGCACTTGCTATACAAACCTGATAATGTGCATTAAATTTCCATTCAATCCCCAGAACCCATGGTGGAGGGAGAGAACTGACTCCCTAAAGTCATCTTCTGATTTGCACATGTGTTCCCACACATACACACAATATCACACACAGAATAATAATATTAATAAAACAATATAAAAAGCTGTCAAAGCTGCATCCATGTTGGATTCTGAGATGTCTGGTAAGCGTTTTCTCCAGATCTAATTGCTCATGATTTTTTGGCAGATGGAAAACCCACAATCCAGGAACAATTGCATCTAGTTAGATTCACACACTGAGTGTTAATTTTTGAATCTACATATTTTTCTCTCAAGAAGTTGGGGCCTCCGCATATCCTTGGCCCCATTAGCCAGTGGGAGTTATGCAGCTGTTCCTTTCAATGTGTCAAATGTTTACTCCAGTTGTTTCCTCTTCCTGTTTTTTCTTTTTTCTTTTTCTTTTTTTGACATAGGGTCTCCCTAAAGCCCTGACTGGCCTGGCCTCCCAAGTGCTGGGATTATCCCCTGGAACTGGAATCACACACAGCTGTTAGCAGACATGTGGGTGCTGGGAATTGAACCCAGGTCCTCTGGAAGAGCAGTCAGTGCTCTTAACTGCCGAGTCATCTCTCCAGCTCCCCACCCCCCTTTTCCTGTTATCCCTGTTCTTTATTCCTTGATGTCCCCTGTGTGGAGACTTGCAAACTCCTCTCAGAGACTTGTCTCCCACCCTTCACTACCTGTTCTAATTCACATCCATCTCAAATGTCAACCTTTCATGCTTTTCCCCACCAAGCAGATGGTTGCGCTCTCTCTCTCTCTCTCTCTCTCTCTCTCTCTCCCCTACTCCTAAGGTAGAGTTTTATAGCCATCATGGCTAATACTAATCAACTTGTCAGGATCTAGAATCACCTAGGAAACAAGCCTCTGGGCACACCTTGAGGGATTATCTAGATTAGGCAGGCCTCTAGCTAGGACTGTGAGGGATTATCTTGATTAGGTTAATGGAGGTGGGAAGACCCACCCTAAAAGTGGGTGGCACCACTCCCTGGGTTTGGGCCCCTGGACTAAATAAAAAACAGAAACCTAGCTGAGCATGAGTCTCTCTCTCTCTCTCTCTCTCTCTCTCTCTCTCCCATTCCTGACTGTGGAAGCAATGTGACCAGCTGCCTCATGTTCCTGTCACCAGGACTTCCCTGTCATGAACAGACTGTACCTTGAATCGTGAGCCACAATAAACCCTTTCTCCCTTAAGTCCCTTTTGTTGGGGTATTTTACCATAGGAAAAGTAACTAAGACAGTAGCATACAGAATCCAGCGATGTTTATAACTGCCTGTGATGCATTTATCTGGCCTTCCTGACTACAGTGGAGGGGGTAAAGCCTACACCTTCAATCATCCATTCGTTTAACAAAAATGTATTTTCGTTAAGCGCAGTACGTGTCACAGAAGTGCAGGATGCATTGCGATGAAGGAGAGAAGCAGAGCAGCGGGTCCCAGGGAGATGCCGAGTGCGGGGCCTGTCCAGCTTCTTTTTGCTGACCCTGCAGAGCCTGGGAAAGTCTCATGAATACGTGTTCAGTTGGCATTTGTCAAGATGAATTTCGATGCATCTATTTACATATACAAAGCATCTTCTATTTGGCGGTTCTACTAATCAACTTGTTTTGTTCTTTTAAATCACATAACTTGAACTTTATTTCTTCAATCAGCACTCTAAAAACCAGACTGGTACACTAGCCACAGACATCTCACCTCCCCTACCACTCAACTCCGAACAACCACAGATGTATTTTGAGAAAGTGTTCTGACGTCCCTCTAAATGTATTTACCTGGGTAACTGCTAAAAGAGAGGCGGCTGCTCCTGGTCTGTTCATCCTTGATGTTGAAGTCCCAATGTTTATATATCCTGAGCATGGCTGCATAGGTGTACCAGCTTGAGTGCCCAAAAAGGATATTCTCAAATTCAGGAAGGACCTGCAGCCAGAATCATAGTTAATAATGCAGGCATACGGACAACTGAATACATATTACATCTGGAGAGTACATAGGAATTGGATCAACAGAAGTGATCCAATTATTATTATTAATTATTGTTCTCTTTATTACCAGAACTGTGACCAAAGAGTCCAGCATGCAGCACAGACTGTTGTTCTATGTATGAAATGGGAGAATCTGGAAAGTAGGTGTGGCAGATGTATACAACATAGGCAGAATGGGGGAAGAAACAGGTGACGTCATGTTCGTCCAGTTCTCTCTATCAAAGTTCCTGCCAGTTTCTAACTTGTACGACAGAGGACCTGTGAACAGAGATCCATAGCTAGCCAGAGAGGGATGAGAGTGTTGCTATACTTGGGTGAGAGGGTGAAAAAAGTCTGTTGAAAATATCACAATGAGGGGCTAGAGAGACAGTTCAGCAGTTAAGAGCACTGGCTGCTCTTCCAGAGGATCCGGGTTCAAGTCCCAGCATCCACATGGCAGCTAACAACATCCTTAACTCCAGTTGCAGGAGATCTGATGCCATCTTCTGACCTCCTTGGGCATTGTACAACACAGATGCACTTATACACATGCAGGCAATACACTCATACACATAAAGAAATATAAGATGTTTTTTAAAATGTCACAATGAAACCCATTATGATGTACAATTGCTATATGCTAATAAAAAACTAAAAAAAAAAACCCCACAAAGTCTGTGTGGACAGGAGGAGGGGCTGCTGGGCCTTACCTTAATAAGAGCAGAGCAGTGTCCCATGTCCCATCTCTTAAAAACCTTCAGGCTGTCTCTTGTGGGAAATAAGGAGGGAATAAGATCCAGAAGATCCCCAACTGCATTCAGGAACTGGATCTGGAACATAGTCAGGGGCTGGAAAAGGACACATGGGGCACTTAGCATTGGTTTGAGACTTGTGTCATTTTCTACTTTTCCCCTTGTTCAGGTTCCATTAAGTGATTGGTACACAGAGGGTCTACAATGCAACAGATGTACCGGATTTTCACTCATTAAATTATCTGGCTTTATAATTTTCAAGCTATGTCAGCATGTTTCCATATCAACAGATTTTTGGATGGGAAGTTCCTTAGAGAAGAGAACAGCTTCTGTTCATATTCTTTAGCATTAGGGCTCCTCAGGCTTGGCACTATTCATGTTTGGGTAGGGTAATGCTTTCTTGGGGGGCGGTATGCACTGTGAGGTGTTCAGCAGCATGCCTAATTGCTACTCTCTATCAATAGCAGCCTCCCAGTTAATTAAAAAAAATTTTTTTGTGGTCTTTTTGAGACAGGGTCTTCCTGTAGCCCCAGCTGGCCTGGAACTCACTATGTAAGCTGTCCTTGAATTTGCAGAGATCTGCCTGCCTCTGCCTCCAGAGTGCTAGGATAAAAGGCGTGTACCACCACACCCAGACAGTTAATTTTATTTATTAGCATGTCCATATTTATTATGATGTGTGTGGGGGTGTGCACATGCCATGATGTGTCTGTGGAGGCCAGAGGACAACTTTGTGGAGTCAGTTCTCTTTCCACCTTTACATGGGTTCTTGACATTGAACTCAGGTTGTCAGGCTTTCATGGTACACTCTTTTACCTGCTGAGCTAGCTTATCAGCCCCAATTTCCTAGTTTCGACAACAAAAAATGTCAAACAACATCAAAAAATGTCTTCTCCCAACATTGCCAAACCACCTCTGAGGGAAATCATCCCAGCTAAAACTTTTTCTCTTTTTTGAGACAGGGTCTGTCTGTAGCCCCAGCTGGCCTGGAACTCACTTTAGAGCCCAGGCTGGCCTTGAACTCACAGAGATCGGCCTGCCTCTGCCTCCCCAGTGCTGGGATTAAAGGTGTGCACCGCCACACCCCTCCCAGCTAAAACTTTTTACTGCAACAATTTCAACTAAGATGCTTCTGATTTTGAACTTGACACTGTACACATGTGGTACACTGCTGGAAACCACTGTCCAGTTTGAACTCTGCAGAAAGCACTCTCGACTCTGTGCAAAGTCACCAGTGGCCAAGAATGTCTATGAGCCAGATAAGCATATACGCAGACCCGTGTCCCTTATGCTTAGAGAAAAACCGTGCCCTATTTACACTGCTGGGTAAACATTTGCTCTATACCAAATAAACGGGCCACATTTTGTTCTTAAACATTTTCCTGAGCCCCTGCAGAGAATGACCTTTGATTTACCTATCCTTTTGTTCCCCGAACGCCTGCTTAGAGGACCTCATCCCCAGGATATAAAGTTTGGGAGTTGGAGTCTACAGAACGGGAAGTCTCCTGGTCTTCCCCCTATGGCCGACTACAGCCCCCCCCCCCCAATCCTGCCCCGTTTTCTTAATATTGCAATGTCTTGCTTCCACATCCAGGAGCACCCAGCCACACAGGATGTAGCAGTGCATTTACACACATGCAGGCAAAATACTCATACACATTAAAAAATTAAAAACGTAACTCAACAATGTATGTTAATCTTCTCCTGGTTTTCTTCTTTGGATGAACAGTACATTCCTTAGTCAAGATTTAGAAAATTACAGCTCAGTCCTCACTCTTGTTTTTTGTTTACTCTGCCCCATTCTGCCTCTGGTTTGCCATTTTTAGTTGTTTCTTGTATCTCTAGAGTTTTTTAATTAAAAAAATTTATTTAATTTATTCGATGTGTATGAGTGTTATGCCTGCATGTTTGTAAGTGCACCTGTGTAGTGCAATGCCCGTGGAGGTCAAAGAGAGCGTTAGATCCCCTGGAACTGGAGTTATGCACGGTTGTTAGCCACCATGTGGGTGCTGGGATTCGAACCTGGGTCGTCTTCTGCAAGAGCAGCCAGTGCTCTTAGCTGCTGAGTCATCTCTAGCCCCATCTCTAGAGTTTCAAAAATGTATTTTCATGACTCTTTACATTTACAAATTGTAGTACATCATAGGCACTGCTTTTCACCTTCAAGGTTTTTCTCTTCCTATCTGTGAATATTTCTGTATGGCATCTGAAAAATCTTCCTCCTTCCTTAAGCCACGTTCCTACCTATGGATGCATCATAATATTCTCAGTAGTTTCTTGAGAGACTTTCAGGAGAGTCCTAGTCTTCTGCTATAATAAATAATGCTGTAATAATGAATGTTGGATACATTGGAGGTTGGGGTAGAATAATTTCCTAGAAGTGATTTTGATCTCAATAGATATTTCCATATTGTCCTTGTAGGAGCTGTTTCCATTACACCCTTTCAGCATCAACAAAATATTAATTTCGCATTTCCTTTGTTACAAGGAAGGTTAGAAACCATTGGCTTTGTGTGCAGGTGGGCGTATGTGTGTATACTCATGTTTGTGCAAGGGTGTTCTTGTGTAGGCATGTGTAAAAATCAGAGGTTGACTTTGTGTGTCTTCCTCTATCACTTGCCACCTTATTTTCTGAGACAGGGTCTCTCACTGAACCTGGAGCAGGCTGTTCCAGCTAGACTGGCTGGGCAGTGAGCCTCTGGGATCCACCCGTCTCCACCCCTCAGCACTAGGGCTGTGGATCTGCTGTACCTGGCTGTTACATGGGTGCTGAGGATCTGAATTCAGGTCTTCACACTTGCACCACATACACTTTACCCACCGAACCGTCTATCTCTCCAGCCCATGGGTTTGTTTATTGTAAAGCACTTAAAAGTTTTATTATTTGTTTGTTTGCTTGTTTCTTTTGGGGACAAAGTCTCAAGTCTTTTTACTTCTTTTGTTTTCTTTTGCTGTTTTTTCTGAGATCTCATTTTACTAAGTAGCCAGGCTGACCAAGAACTCAATAGCAATCCTCCTGCCTCAATCTCCCAAGGGCTCAGATTATAGGAATGAATTGTGGTGGTTTGAATGAAAATGTCCCCCATAGACTCCAAGTATTTGGACATTTTGTCCCCAGTTGGTAGCACTGTTTTGGGACGTCTTAGAAGATGTGGCCATGCTGGAAGAAGCATGTCACTGGGGTGGGCTTAGAGAGTTCTTAAGCCTTGCTGGATCTCCAGTCACTCCCTTGTTTCCTGTGCTTTCTTGAAGCTGTGAGAGCTTAGCTTCTGTGCCTACTCCAGCCACCTCCTGCCACCATGCCTCCCTGGAACCATAAGGTCAAATAAACCCTTCTATAAGTTGCTTTGGTCAGTGTTTCTATCACAGCAACAGAAAAGTAACTAATACAATAATGTACCACCATACCCAGCTTATTTTCATGTTTTCATTTTGTTTAAGTATGTTAGACATATTTGCATCACTTGTTTTCAATTTTTAAAGATCGATTTTCTTCTCTGTAGCTAGATTGTGTTTAGTAACTGAGAATAGTGTGGTTCTACAGCCAAAACCTATAAAGCAGGGCCCTGGGAAACGCTTTCTTTGATCTTCCCTCTCTTGCCTTCCTACTTTTATGGACAATCTGTTTGCTTTAGGTTTGTATTCTTTTATATTTTATTCTTCTTTATTTTACTTTTTTCAGATAGGGTTTCACTATGTAGCACTGACTGGCCTGGCACTTGCTATGCAGACCAGGCTGGCCTTGATCTCACAGAGATCTGACTGCCTCTGCCTCCTAAGTGCTGGAATTAAAGGCATCTGCTTCCATGCCTGGCTTGTTTATTCCTCATTAGAAAGTCTGTCTATCTACCTACCTACCTACCGACCTACCTACCTACCAACCAACCAACCGACCTACCTACCAACCAACCAACCAACCTACTGACCGACTGACCAACCGACCTACCGACCTACCGACCTACCTACCGACCGACCTACCTACCTACCTACTGACCAACCTACCTACCTACCTACCTACCAACCTATTGACCGACCAACCGACCGACCAACCTACCTACCTACCTACCAAGCTACCCACCTACCTACCGACCAACCTACCTACCTACCTACCTACCTACCAACCTACCTACCTACTCACCAACCTACCTACCAACCTACCTACCAACCTACCAACCAATCTACCTACAACCTACCGACCAACCAACCTACCTACCTACCTACCGACCTACCTACTGACCTACCTACCAACCTACCAACCGACCAATCTACCGACCAATCTACCTACCTACCTACCTACCAACCTACTTCTACCTACCAACCTACCTACCTACCGACCAACCTACCGACCAACCTACCGACCTACCTACTGACCTACCTACCGACCTACCTACCGACCTACCTACCTCTCCATCATCTCTCGACCATCATCTCTCTACCATCGTCTCTCTCCCATCATCTCTCTACCATCTCTTTCAGTCTCTATTATCTGTCTACCTATCTACCTATCTATCATCTCTATGTCTATCTTTCATCTATCTCTCTCTCTACCTATCCATCCACCTTTATTTCTCTTATGTAAAAGTTAGCACATGATAAACATCACCCTCATCCTCCTTTTTTTAAAAAAAATTTTTGCCTTTAATAATAAATCCCAAGGTCACTGCCAAACAGAACACTGATCTGACCTAATTTAAACAGCCAGTGCTCTCTATATCTGAATACTGTTACTCGTCTGCTGTTATGAATGACCTGCAGTGGACAGGTTTTCATACCTGCCATGTTGCATTTTTGCCAGTATGTCCATGTGGTAATATTAGCAGGGGGACTACTGGGGCAAAGGGCACCAACCAACCAATCTACCTACCAACGAATCTACCTACCAACCAATCTACCTACCAACCAATCTACCTACCAACCAATCTACCTACAAACCATCTACCTACCAACCATCTACCTACCAACCATCTACTTACCTATCATCTACCTACCTACATCTACCTACCTACCATCTATCCATCTATCATCTATCAATTATCTATCATCTATCATCTATCATCTATCAATCATCTATCATCTATCATCCATCTATTGTCTATCATCTATCAATCGTCTATCATCTATCAATCATCTATCTATCAATCATGTATCTATCAATCATCTATCTATCAATAAATCAATCTATCTATCTATCAATCTATCAATCAATCTATCATCTGTCTACCTATCTATCTGATTTGCATATAAACTTCCCATAGGAGATATTCTACTTGCATTCCAACCAGTATTTTAGAATTGTGCCTTCTTTTCCCACAGCCTGGCCAATGTGGTACAATTTCACACTTTGGAATTTTTATAAGGCTGGTGAGAAAATACTTATCACTATGGTTTTAAGTTACATTTCTTTTTTCTTTTATTTCTTTATTTAGACAATGTCTCATGTAGCCCTGGCTGGCCTCAAACTCTCAAAACCACTATGCTGCTGAAGATGGCTATTTTAGTTTCTTTTCTGTTGCTGTGATAAAACATCACAACAAACAGCTCAAGGAAGAAAGGGTTTGTTTACAATTCCAGTGACAGTCCATCATTCCATGGAAGTCAAGGCAAAAACTCAAGCAACTAGTCACATCATACCCACAGTCAAGAATGGAGAGAATAAATGCTGTCTTGCTGGCTACTTGGCTAGCTTTTTCTATTCTTACACAGCCCAGGGTGCAGCCCATGAAATGATAGTTTTATTTTGTTTGCAGTGCTCAGAATGAACCTAGGTCCTTGAACATGCTAGGTGAGTGCTCTACCACTGAGCTGCATCCCCAGTCCCGGATTTAAAAAAAAAGTTTTTCAGTATTATGCCATATAAATTCTGAGCAGCTTCTCAAAGTCTTACCTTTGTCTTTTCTATGGAAGCTCTTTTCAGTGCTCCAACGTACAGCCCATCCAGCTGTGATAGAACATAGCTGGTGTGTCTCCAAAACGGGTCATCTTTGTATTTTTTGATGTTTTCCCTAGTCCATAGATTTTGCTTTCTGGAAGAGAAATTACATTTGAATACAAGTCTTAATGGCAGTTCATCCAAAGCTAAATCAAGCCAGGAACTCAGAAATCACATATTCAGACACTCAGGCTGGCACAATTAAATTTTATATCTAATAATGTTCCTGTCATTCAAATGATTTCAGTACAAACCTTGGTTCTAATTTCACACTAGGACTATGATTCTTCCTTACCCTTTTTCTTGGTTTTATGTAGAACCAAAATGCAAGTGTGATATTAACCAGTGAAAGTCAAGCACAGATTGTCAAAATATATTCCATATAGAGTGAAGTATTTCAGTAAGTAAAGATAAGTGGATTAGCTTTACTTTTGCTTGTAGAAAGAGCTCAAGTTAGACAATGGGGGAAAGCCCTGCTGAGGGAAAAGCTGCTTTACAAACATTTCTGATTCTCCCATAGTCTCCATCTCGTTTTAGTTGGCATTGGCAGCTACCTCAAAAGCTCTGTTCTAGTGCACTCAGGCAAAGGTATTTGTTTTAAATGTCTTCTTGCTTTCTTTTAGTTCTCTGTACTTTCTATGGGATGGTTTGACATAACTTTGCACCCAGAAGTCTATTTCTGATTTGTGTATGCTCTCTCTGGTTTACACTCTCTCTGGATCAATCTTATTACCCACAATTCCCTGCCTCATAGACTCCAGCCTGATGCTTTTACCTGATGCTTGGTGGCACTCAGTATTTCATAAACCAGATGCTTAGTGTGTGGTTTGGCAGACCACACAAGAACCTGTTTGTCTCCAATGAATTTCCTGTCATATCATCAATTATAAAATTTAAAGAAAAGATTCTCAGAAAGTATTAAGAATTCTGACTTTTGAACTAGGTGTGGTGGTGCCTGCCTGTAATCTCCACACTCTGGAGGCTGAGCCAGGAGGATCTTGAGCCTGAAGCCAGTTTGGGCTACACAGTATGACCCTATACTCCTCATCCCTACTCAAACCAGGGTGTACCGGATAGCTTTAGTTGTCAACTTGACGAACCTGGGAAGAGGGAACCTCAATTGTGGAAGTTCCCACCCATTAACCTGTGGGCGTGTCTGTGAGGCATTTTCTTGATTGGTAATTGAGCACAGGCCAGAGAAGCAAGCTAGTAAGCAGCATTCCTCCATGGTCTATGCTTCAGAAACCTGCCTCCAAGTTCCTCCCCTGAGTTCCTGCATTGGCTTTCCTTGATAATGGACTATATGTCATAAGCCCTTTCCTTCTCAAGTTGGTTTTGGCCAGAGTGTTTTATCACAGATATAGAAAACAAACTAGAACATAGGACTTTTTGGTATTAGCTAAGACCCAGCTAGTTGCCAGGCTCAGGAAGCAGAAACACCTTAAAGGGGGAGGAGAAAGAATTCCTCAAAAGAAGGTGAGGGGCACCCAAGAGGAAGAGCTTCAGGGTTTGACTTTTGCCAGCTCTCCACAGACTGTGACTTCTTTTAAGCCATTTCAGGCATTGAGAATGTGACATTCAGCCTGACTTTTGAAAGAGCTGAAATGAGGGGACAAGTTTTGAGCAACCAGTTTTTATTCTGTTACAGAAAACACGATACCCTCTGGTCAGAAGAGCTCTGCTAACGAGACAGAAAAAGAAATGAACAAAGACATAATTTCCCAGTAGCCTTAACAACAACCAGACCAGGAAAGCTTTTATACATACTCCATGAAGTTTCGCACTTTATCCACCATGGCAGGTTTCTTGATCAACTGTGGGTAGAGGTTTGTGAAGTGGTCGAACATGTGTCTGAAATGACAAGTGAAACTTATTACATTCTGATTTCTCTTGGGTTTCACCATGAAGCCACTTGATCTTTTGTCTAGTCGGTCTGTTCCCCAATTTCAAACTTCTGTCATTTTTTATTTAAATCGATCAAATGTACAACAAAAGTAAGAAGTATTAAGCCAAGTATGGTGGCGCATGTCTTCAATCCCAGCACTCAGAGGCAGAGGCAGGTGGATCTCTATGAGATCGAGGCCAGCCTGGTCTACATAGCAAGTTCCAGATCATCTGGGGCTACAGGGAGACCCTGCCTCAAAGACACACACACACACACAAAACCAAAACCAAAACCAAGACAGAATATATTAGACATAAATGAAGTTTCTCTGCATACCTTCTGTCCTACTTTGTTTCTCCATTGCTATGACAAAACACTCTGACCACTACCAACTTGGGGAGGAAAGGGTTTATTTGTCTTACATCTCCCAGGTCACAGTTCATCAGGGAGCCCAAGGTAAGAACTCAGGCTGGAGCGCAGCCCATGAAGGAACTCTGCTTAGTGGCTTGCTCCCCTGGCCCCTGCTCATCCTGCTTTCTTATGCAACACAGGCCCACGTGCCCAGGGGTGGCACTACCCACAGTGGGCTGGGCCCTCCCACATCACTCATCAAGAAGATGCCTCTCAGACATGGCCACAGGCCAGTCCAATAGAGGAAATTCCATGATTGAGGCTCCCTCAACCCAGGTGTGTCAAGTTGACACTAAGGCTATCCAGCATACGTTCCTGACACTAGGTCTCCTCTTTTCCCTCAGAGGAAACCACAATCTCTAATTCACACACACGCTTTTATGTAATCACTATATATTTAGCCATAAATAATGATTTTTATTAATATTTACATTACTTATTACTATTGCTGATCATGTATCAGAATAAAATAAAAGCACACTGACATGACTGCAACTCATTTCTCTTAATACAATTTTTATTTTATTTAAGATTTATTTGTGTATGTATGTGTTTGCATGTGTGAGTGTATTTACATGTGTGCATGGGTGCCCACACCTGTGTGACTGACTCCTGGCTTGTGACATGGTTACTGGGATCCAAACTTTGGTCCTCATGATTGTACAGCAAGCACTCTTAACTGCTGAACCACCTTTCCATTATTTTATTTTATTTTTTTGTCTTTGGGAGACAGAGTCTCCCTGTAGTACCAGCTGGTCTGGAGTTCACTATGTAGAGCAGGCTGGCCTCGATCTAGCAGAGATCCACCTGCCTCTGCCTCCTGAGTGCTGGAATTAAAGGTGTGCACCACCTGATGCCCTGCTTTAACAGGATTTTTAAAGAAATCCCTCTACCTGCATCTAGTACTTAATTTAATTCTTTTCAGGTACTAACAGTATTCCATGGCATGATTACTGAATGATTCACATATGCATTCTTCAATGGACATTAACAGGTTTGAATTCTTCACTGTCATAATGCAATACCAAGACATTATTGTACACATCTTGTCACATATTTGCACATTCATATAAGGAATGTGTGTGCCTAGGTACAACTGCTAGATAATGCCAACTTGGTCTCCACGGTGAAGTGTCAATCCAGGTTCTCAGACTTTTTCCTCTTCCACAGCCAGCACTTTATACACTCAGACTCTATAATTTTCAACAATTTGTTGGGTTTAAATAGTTTTTCTTTCTAATTTACATTCCTCACATGACTATTGAGCATTTGGGTTGTTTATTTTAAATAACTTACTTATTATTTTTATGTCTATGAGTGTTTTGCATGCATATATGTAAGTGCATGCACCCATGTCCTGCAATGTCCTGAAGAGGATGTCAGATTCCCCTGGAACTGGAATTACAGTTGTTAGTCACCATGTGGGTGCTCGAAACCAAACCTGGGTTCTCTAGAAGAGCAGCCAGTGTTTTTAACTGATGAGCCATCTTTCCATCCCCCGGGGATTCTTTATTTTAATGCTTACTTTGAAAAAATTAAAAAGCCAAATATGGAGGTACACACCTGCAATCTCTGCACTTGGAGGAGCAGAAAGATTACTGCAAGTTTGAAGCCAGCCTGTACTATAATTTGTAAAGTGAGTACCAAGCCAGCCTGGGATACAGAGTGAGACCCTGTCTCATAAAGGGGCGGGGTGGCTTAGTGGGTAAAGTGCTTATGCAAGTGCAGGGACCTGGGTTTGGATTTCCAACATGCACATAAAAGCTAGGCATAGTGGCACACATCTATGGCCACAGGTCTGGGGAGAGAGACTGGTGGGTTCTGAGTATTTGCTAGTTAGCTAGAGGAAGACACGTGCAGACTGTTGTGGTTTGAATGTCTAATGTCCCTCACAGGCTTTTGCCTGAACCGTTAGTCTGGCTGGTGGTGCTATTGGAGAGGTTGTGGAACCTTTTGGACCTGAGATCTAGGTTTCAGAGGTAGGGCTGTAGGGGAAGGGATAGAGAAGGGATAGAAGGTTTTGGGTCATCCCTGCTTCACCAGAGCCCTCTGCTTCCTGACTGTGGATGTGATGTAAGCCACTGCTTCAAGCTCCTGCTTATTCAGCCACAAGCCATGCCCACTGCCATGCCCACTCTGCCATGATGGACTGTCTTCCCTCAAACCATGAACCAAAAAAAAAAAGATTCTCCTTTCAACTACTTTACACCATCAATGAGGAAAGTAACTAATATAGTCTTTGTCCTTCATACATTCTCACAATAATGTACTGTGCTAACATGGGCACACATGACCTGGGTTGAAACCTCTCACACCAAGAACCAAAATAATCCTTTCCTCCTTTTAAGTTGATTATCTCAGGTATATTGCTACAGTCAGGGAAAGCTGACTAACCTAGAAACCCAGGTGAGTTTAATGGTTTGAGTTGGTTTCTCAGGGCAACAAATCTAGGGTTTCCAATCCCAAGACACATCTATACATCTCAGTGAATATTCTGAGTGGCCTTGAGTGAAGTGGAAACACTGAAAACCCACAGACCTGCTGGAGGTAGAGGATGTATGTATGTGATGAACACTGCAATCTTGGATGACAGTGGTTACGCAGCCAGGGACAAGGGAGACAATGGAGGTCTTATCAGCCATCAGATGAAAAAACACCCAAGCTAAAGAATAAATAAGATTGTTCTACACTGGTGGATGCTGGGAATGTACACAACACAATCATTGATTAAACCTCTCCTTTCCTTGCTCCAGGAGGCCCCGGTAGCATCAACCCATTTGGAAGGGATACTGGTTGGAGGAGGAGTGGAGAATTCCCAGTTGACCATTTACATTGTATCTGATTTGGGAACTAGAGAGATAGCTCAGTAGTTAAGAGCACTGGCTGCCCTTGCAGAGGACCTGGGTTCAGCAACCACATAGCAGCTAACAACCACCTATAACTCCATTCCAGGGGATCTCAACCCTCTTCTGGCCTCTGAGGGCATTGCATGCAGGGGTGCATTCAGATGCATGCAGACAAAACACTCATACACATAAAAATAAAATTTAAAATAAAGAAAATAAAGAAAAATAAAAAATGTATTTTTAAAAAAATTGCACCTGAATTGGGTTATGTAGAAATGATGCCTAGGACCTTCTGAAATCAGGAGAATGAGATTTGAACCCTAGAGAAGTCAGGCGTCTTGCTTTTAGAAATCTATCCCAGAAATATGGAGTCCAGCTTCGAACTCAGAATTCAAGCTCTGTGTCCTTAAATGTTATACTGCATTGCTTTAGATACTTATATACTTTATACATAAATGCTTATGTACTTACAAGGATTTTTTTTTTGGTCTTTTTGAGTTAGGGTCTCCCTGCAGCCCCAGATGGACAGGAACTCACCATGTAGACCAGGGTGACCTTGAACTCACTCACAGAGCTCCTCCTGCTTCTGCCTCCCGAGTGCTGAGATCAAAGGCACGCACCACCACACCTGGCACTTATAAGGATTTTAAACCCGCATGAGCTGTTTGTGCTGATGGCTCTCACAAACTTGATGAATGTTCCTAAAACTCTCTGGCAGCAGGGGTCAGAAAGAAACATGGCAAGCAGCAGAGAGACACCACGCAAGAAAGAAGAGGATTCCCTGTCTGCCCAGGTACAGTGGTGTGCAGTGCACATGCTAAGGCTATTGAACTACAAAGAAGTTTGTGCTGAGGTTTGAGTGTGCTGAGCCCCACTGCACATTTAAAAGAAGGCTGGCTGGTAAGGATGCCAGCTTTGAGAACTGTGAGGCGATCAGAAGGGAAAGAGCCATGTGATACAGTTCTAAGCTGATGCTATTATGAGTTGCATTGCCTTAAAAGTATATAGGAAGTGGGTAAGCCGGGCATGGGTATATAGATGAATAAGATTGTTTGGGATGTTCTGTATGGAATACACACACACACACACACACATACACACACACACACAAATCAACAAATAAAAAAATGACATATTTGAGGAAGCATAAAAATGTACTTCATGTTAATTAGTAGAGGTAATGAAAATTACCATTGAAATTATGTGATGACTTTATATCCATACTCAGGTGCCAAGGATCCAACTGTAACTGACTGTGACTAGTAATAATTAGATACATAGAGATTAGAGACACATGTGCAAACATCTAAGCGTTAGTAGCATTAAAAATGAATCTTTCTGTAGGAAACAGCGTATTTTAAAATGAAATGGAGATCTTTTTTAAAGGTTAAAAACTCATTCAATTCTATGTCTCACAGGGTTTCTAGTGAGTTCAATATTGTATAACTGTATTAATTCAACTGTGAGCCTAAAAATTTACAGCCACTTCTGAAAGAGAGGTATCCTTGCTCTGGAAATTGTTATTGAATATGTTAAATCTGTAATTAAATGCTTCTTCTAATCATGTGGTTATTAACTTAAAAAAAATTTTTTTTAAGTACATAGGGCCTGACTTGGGTATGGTGGGGCATACCTTTGATCCTAGCACCAGGATGCAGAAGCAGGCCAATCTCTGTGAGATCAAGACAAGCCTGATCTACAGTGCATTC